CCCTCTCTCTTCCTCTCTCTCAAAGTCAGATAAAGCTTTAATTTGTAATAGCAGGTATATTACCAACCATGAAATTTAAATTTTAGTCCCTCGCCAAATTTACTAACAATGTAACCAGAGTTGCCAAAAATTAAACATTGCTCGTACATAAAATAAAAAATCAATTAGTAAAAGTAACATCAAATACACAAAGTGCTCCACAGGGAATGTTGCTAATTGGAAAGAGACAATACTATCTCCCTTGGGCCAAAAACATTTACCATGATATTGCACAGTCTGTCGTTATTTGATCAATGGATGCAGTCAGAGATACAATCAGTAAAATGGCTTCATATATCATCTGATGTAATAATAAACAGGATTACCCATTTTAAACCATCCTATTCAGGTAAGGTTTGGGTAATTTCTAGTCTTTTCTACTTCCAGCCAAAAGAATAATGTCATCAATACCGTGTCTCATATTGATCAAGGCTATTGGTGATGGTTGAAAGAACTTGGAAGCTGCTTTCATAATTTTTTGTTGACAATGTGAGCATCAGTTTTTTAAAACTTGGAAATATTATCTAGCCTTGTTTATCTAGTCTAGTCTTGTTTATTTATTTATTCTCTGTGTAGATACCAGACATTTTAGATAAATGTTTGCACAGAGTGACCACTATAAGGATACTGATTTCAATTCTTTCATATTTGAAATCTTCCCTAAAACTCTTTCTTACAGAGATGCATATATCCAAATGCAAAGATCTATCATAAAATGCATATATTGACCAAAGCTATAATGGACAGAGAAACCTAAAGACAAACACCTGGGTTTTCTGATACACAAAGAAAAAGGCACACGATGGACAGACAGAACATCGACAAACAGCTGGACAGAAATGAACAGAAATTGAAAAGTCACACATTTTAATCACCTCATTATTCTTTTACTTTCTTTTTGGCTCACAAACATACATGTACTTTCATAAATCCAAATTCCCTTGCATAATTGTATTATTTATAATCATCATCTTTAGGTACAAATAAACAGAGCCCTATTCTTATGGATAACAATCAATTTTGTTATTATTTAGTGACTGCTGTCTACTTACAGCCACTGGATCCACTGCCACTATGAGAGCACTAAACAGAAGACACTGGACAAATGTCACTGAGAAGTCGTCCCCCATGGCCCCTACTGACATCAGCCCATACAGGGTTGGACCTGGAGCAGAATGTGGTAGATGAGAATATATTTTTTCTTTTGCAAAAAAAATAAAAAAAAAAATAAAAATAAATAAATAAATAAAATAAATAAATAAAAATAAAAACAAAAACAATGAATAAATAAATAAATAAATAAATAAATAAACAAAATAAAAAAAGATTATTGTATTAGGTGCAACAGTATTTAGTGTATTGGGCCAGGAGTAAGATGTGTATGATGAGATCACAAAATGTGTTGAGGAGAACATATTATTGCGAAAGGTGTGATTAGGCATTACAGGTTTTGGACAAGGAGCAGAATGTGTTAGATGAGATGATAAAATCTCTTGGTAAAAACAGATAATTGTGTTAGGTGAGATATAGTATAAAGTATATTGGACCTGGGGCAATTTGTGCTAGATGGGACAACAAAATTTGTTGGATAAAACTACATTATTGTGATAGATGTGATTTAGTATTATAGGTATGAGATGGGATGGCAAAATGTGTTGGATAAGATCACACCCAATTCTGTTTGAAGTCTCCATTATGTGAACACCTTAAAATTAGAAGCTTAGAACTCAAAAACAGCTTTATAGATCATAGCTTTGTCAATAGTTTTGGATGTGTTGAACAAAATGATTATTATTATCATTATTTTATAATTATTCAAAATATTATTTATCTTTTGTTAAGGTCTAACAAACTTCTCTGTACACTTCTCTCTATACTTGATGTGATAAAGCAAACTGTTGCATCTACAATAATCCTATCCACAACACTGCACTATTTATCTTTAGCTTACACTGTGTGGCAACACAATAAATCAAAAGAGCATTTAATTTAGTGGAATGAACTTACCTATTAGAAAGCAATTAATCACTGTGCCCTAAAATAAATGGAAATATGTTTCAAAATGTATAGAAAGGTTAACATATCAGCATATAGCAAATGAATAAATTAGATTGAAAACACATTAATACACATTAAACACATTAATAACCCAAGCTTTCTGCTTATGTGCCTTTTCCAGGAACTAAAAAAAATATAACCTGTGCCATTTATCTTACGCTTGATGACACTACATCAAATCAAAAGTGATTGGTTTAGTTTTTTTTTATTCCTGAAGAAGGCGCAAAAGCTGAGAGCTTGGGCATTTTATAGCAATAATGTGATCTTAATACTTGCATTTTAAATCAAATTTATTTCTTATACAAAATCAACATGGTGCTTATTATTAATCTTCAACATATACTAGATGTAACACAAAATAATAAATGTGTATTTAAGTGGTGCAATAATGTAAAATGTCACTTTTAACTTTGGATTCTATGAAACACTCCTCTTAGCATTACGATCTTGCAGGGTATAACAGTTGAATAATACAGACACACAAATAGATCTGGCCAGATGGACCTCTGTTTTCATCATGGTCAGGTTATACAATACAATTTCATTGGCTGTGACAGCTAAATGTGTTAGGTGTGCACTGTGAGTGCACTAAATGTAGCAGTGGATTGTGTTGGGTGTGCCAGTTCCTGTTAAAGGTATTAAGTGTAAAGATGATTTGTGTTAGGTGTGACAGCTGATTGTGTTAGGTGTGACAGCAGATTGTGTTGGGTGAGACAGCTGATTGCATTGGGTGTTTCAGCAAATTGTGCCAAGTGAGAAATGAGTGTGCAATTTCTATTTACATGGAACTTACAATCACTGCATAGAACATGACAGTTCCCACATTGTCAAAGAAGGTTCTGTCATACAAACTGTAGGCTGATTCCAGTATTATTCTGAAAACAAAAGATACTTTTTTACTTATACTTTATTTAGATAAAAGCAAGTGACATATTAATCAAACTGTAGATATCTATTTTATAGGTCATGCGTAACTTTATATTTTAGTCTTCTTATAATTATAATCAATACATTTTCACGTATAAATCTATCTTTAGTGATTTAACTTTTCTTTACTCATTTTTGATTCATTTTCCCTTTTGCAGTTTTCTTTTTTTACTTTCTTACATCTGATTATTTCACTGTAATGAGAGAGCAAGCTCTGCTACAAATAACATCTACAGTCTGTGCCTTAAAGTTTTCAACACTTGGAAATCTAATAAACCACCAGAAACTTACTCTCTCAAGATAAAATCTTACATAATGGAAAATGATCTAAAGCAACCACTGAACTTTTTTGTAGTGTCGACAGACTAGTGACTTTGAAAAATCAATTTTTTAACAAGTCTGTCACCAAATCCACTTGTCAAAATGTCTTGGAGTTGTGGAACATGTCATAAACTGAAAATCTACATTCTGAGATTTCCCAAAGGACAGCACAAAGCCATTTGATGGGTTCCGTTGATAATGCATGAATGAATCAAAATAATTGACTGTCATCTTGGTTCACATTATCTACAATTTTAAACTTGTGTTACAAATTGATGATGGGCGTGCTAAATATAAAATCTATATTTTCTCTTGCTTATGTCAAATGTACAATTACAAATAGTCAAGATAACTTGATTTCAGAATGACAAGAAAATATGGGCAACATTTCACTGTTCAAACATGAAGATCTGATGAAGCTCCCATTTTCCTCACTTTAAACTTCTTTTTCTTGAAAACAATAAAAAAAGGTGCATTATGGAGCATTTCATCATCCTTTCATAAACCAAAGTATTTATTCACTCTCATTTTATGAAAGCGATTCATTCTGAAGGATCACGAATTCCTGGAAATGCCTCTGTATTCAAAGCCCCCATCCCCAAATTGGTCAACCTTAAAAAAACATTTTTAATGGTACAGTAATCACTCAATATTTTCAATGGAAGAAAATTAATATTGTATTTTTTAAGTCATAATTCCTGAAAATTAGAACAGTCCTATCGAGTTGTAGCAAAAAAATTACAAAGCAGGCTACTCTATTCAATGCAGTAAAGGCTACACAAATGCTATGCAGAAATATTAGTTTTGCAATTATAAAACTATATATCTGACATTTAAACAATTTTTGCCCATAAAAAAGATCCAGTAATCACCGTATTATGTGCGAATAGCAGGACCACTTTCAGCATGTGAACTTTTCACCTGTGACATTTTACATCAGCACAATGCAGCCACTTTGTAACTGATCTTATTTTAAGCCTGCATATTGTCATTGCCTGTAAGTGCTCTCAAATGGAAATTACAGTATGGATTAGATTGGTTAATACTAGTAAGCAATGGTTTCTGATGCCAAAGAAAGTAAGTCTATCCTTTCTGCAAAGTCTTCTTCGTTATAAGCATTATATTCCATGGTCTTCATGTTCCAACCATAATAACTACTGTTACAGTGCTTCACAAACCAAACATTAAAGTTTACATACCATAAATAGGAGATTTAATGTAAAAACAATAAAAAAAAATAAAAATAAATAAATAAATTGGGAACTTAGTGGAATCAAAATTCTTAATCAAGAAGGGAGTTTACCTGATCATCAAAGGACTTCTCAATTACATTAAAGATATGAAAATATAAATATTTATTTGTAATATGAAAGTTTGAAGGAGCAATTGACGAACACATTAAGGTACTTACGGTGGTAAAAGGTAGAGGAAAAAGACATCTGGAGGGAGAGAAGTGGGGAAAAAATCTGCTCCGGCACCTCTGAAATCGAAGAAAAATCAATTAAATTAATAAAACACACACAGATTAATGACATATTGAAATGGTTTAAAAAATGTCAGTATTGCTTCACAGGAAATTTTGCAATAATACCAATATGTTGTTCACCATTCAATTTCATAAATCCACCCAAAGTTATGACAACAGTACTGTATGGAATGTCTTGTTTTGAGGAAAGACTATGCATGCTTTTTCATCATACTGCTGATACAAAATGAGTATGTTTGAATTTGTGTCATTTTCTGAATCAAAGCAACAATTTTTTTCTGTGACGGTAAAATAATATACTCACGTTAAAATGCCACCCAGAACAGTCCCCAACACAATAAGAAGACTGAAAAAAATTATAAAAATTTAATTAAGTTAACCCAGAATGTTAGAAAAATGTATGCAAAGGATTTCGTTGGAACATTATTTTTCATCAGTAGTTTTAAATAAGTTTGAAAAAAAAATCAAAGTTAAACAAAAAGCTTGTGTAATACTAATATAAGTGTACATCACAATATGTGTGCCTAATATTTTGCAAATAATAAAAATTTCATTTTTCTATTCATAAATACAGCAAAACAATATATTGCTTTTATCTTATGTTGAATTATTTGCTTATACATACCATGATTCTGGTACAATTGATGATAAAAAGTTTGCATGATGAAAACCTGCAAAAATAAAAAAAAGATAAATATCATATTTAAATTTCTGTGTGAATTATATGCCAATTTTCTACAAAAAGGATACCTTCAAAGAAAATTTTCTAAAAATGGTCAAAAATGCTCTAAAAATATATCCAAANATATATAAATACATACCATGATTCTGGTACAATTGATGATAAAAAGTTTGCATGATGAAAACCTGCAAAAATAAAAAAAAAAAGGATAAATATCATATTTAAATTTCTGTGTGAATTATATGCCAATTTTCTACAAAAAGGATACCTTCAAAGAAAATTTTCTAAAAATGGTCAAAAATGCTCTAAAAATATATCCAAAGTCAAAGTCTTCTTCATTATCTCCTGCAGAAATCAACTGTGTCCTCCACAAAACATGTTGCAATCAATCTTCCCTTAATTCTTATGGAAATAATTTGATTAATTCCAATTTTTACTCAAAAGAGCCAATTTGATCAGCACTATCTACAGAACCTGCTTAACATAATCGAAAAAAGTCTCAAAAGCGATGACCAGCCATCATCAATCTTTTCTTCGCCTTATTGATGGTGACTTGTGTATTAGAGTGAAGAAACCATTGATCCACCATATCAATACATTAAGACAAAGTGGTCTGGGTAATTTCCGTACTAATAGCTGATGAAATATAGTATGGGAACTAAATTGCGTATTATTTCTTCTGTTTCCATGGCCATTTCATTATGTGACGAGCGTGTGTATATTTATCTTTAGGCCTTGCTTATTTTTTCATCCACTATAAGTGCTTTTTTGTCTGAGTATGACACTATTTCCTAATTAATCACCCTACTTCATCAATATTCTCTTCATAAAACAGTAGAGTATGTTGCTGCAATTCAATGTTGCATTATAACCCCCAAATGTTTTGATTGAGAATCTTTAATTTGATATCTGAAAGGAAATTCTGCAGTTTTATATGCTAATTTTATCTAAAAAATTTTATATGTATTTTCATCTAAAATGTGCTCCTAACTAAAATGTATTTATTATAACATTCTTTATCACAGAAAGCAATCATAAATCAGTAATATATATTCTAACAACTAGCTACATATATCATTGTAACTATTATCATTAAGCAAAACGTAATGCATAAATAATAAAGTGTAACAACAGTTAAAACATCATTATCCTTTCATTAGTATGTACTCAAAAATATTATTGTGCACTTAACAGATTTCAACTAAATTTGTTCCTCCAAAACAATAAATTTAAATTAATTGAATTTAATTTGCAAATTGAATAAGAAAGATTCATGGAAAGTTTAATACAAGTATGAAATTTACTAGCTAAGTAAACCTGGTTTCAGAAAATTTTGGCAATCAATATTATGGGAATTCTGAATGCTGTACACGTTACCATTTCTCCCTTGAGTAAAATAAACTAAGATGTTCAGAAATCACAGGTTCATCAATTTGCTTGTTGCAAAAGAAAAAAAAAAATTCCCAATGGCGTACTAAAGTACAGTATGAGCTCTTGAGAACTGCATAACAATTTCCAAAAAAATAAACAGACAAACCAACTGAATAAAGTAAATTCAATGAAATTAGGCTTAATGCAGTATGGGAATTCCCTGTTCTAAGGATCATATGCAAAGATAAAACCTTTAGAGCATAATGAAAAGGTCAATAAAGTAAGTAAACAACTGACATGTTGATCCGTGATTTTCCCTACTTAAAACATATAACTTTGAGCTGCATATAAGCTATTAAGTTATAATAACTTATATCGGCAAGAGGAAAACGCAACTGTCTGTCTCTCATTCAGGGTAATTTAGCACTTAGCTCATTCCTACGCAGACTTCAATAAAAAAAAAAAGATGTATACATAGAAAATATGAAGCCATCTATCTTCATGCATGGACTCCTGGGAAAACAACAAAGGTTGAATAATATCATCCTGCTGATAAAACAGTACAAATGTAAAAGTTAAATGACATATCATCTGTAGATCACTTTTTTTGTTCTTCTCTTGGGTACCCCTAGGGATAAATGAAATATTTTTTCCCATTATCTTGATATATATGGAAAGCTTTAAGAGTACAGAATTCCTACTTTAAGTTAACTGGTTCAGTTCCAAATGACATCACCAGATTAATTTACCAGCAATTAATGAGCTGACACAGCAAGTAGAATTTAAATTTGAATACACCCTAAACTTCTAAACTTAATGCAAGTGGTGGGCAAGTGCTTCCTGTAGTTACAAAACTATAAACTGAGAAGGGCTGACCCAAATTAAATTTGAATACACCTTAAATTTAATATAAGTGATAGGCATGTGCTTCCTGTGACTACAAAACCATAAAGTGAGAAAGGCCGACCCAAATTAAAACTGAATACACCTTACATTCAAGGCCTGTCTCCAGTGGCGAAAGGATGACCTAACATGCCAGGTGATGTGCATGTAACAATCTATTGCTTCCTGTAGTTACAAACCTATAAACAGATACCTTACTGAGAAAGTAGACACTAATTAGATCTCCTTTGTGAACTGACCTTAAAATTAATCAGTTTGGTCCTTCAGAGACCTTTACTCGTTATGTCTAAGACCCCATTCCCACAGATTTTAGAACAATCTATCACCTTGGGGAGTCTTACTAGATTACTGTCAGCTTAGCAGGCTTAAAGGTCTGTCCCGCCTACTAAAAGCTGTAAGGGGGTAATTAACTTTCGTGCGCGGTCGGCAGACAGCAATTTAGAGTGAACCCCCAGGGAGTTAGGTCGATCTAGTTGATCGGGAATGCGCTCTAAGTGTGAAGGCACCTGTTGTTACATGTGACTGGCAGTGCTTATTGAATACCTGTGGGAATGGGTATCTATGCTTGTATCCAATCAACTCACATGTTACCTGAGTCAACAAATCTTGGGTTTGTTCAATATCAGCTTTGTAAGATTTCCTTGTAAGTTAAGGACGGCATTTTCATGATGTGTTGGCCTTTACAAAAGATCTAAGGTATGCTACAGTAGAATTCAAAGATAAACATTCTGCTAACTGCTATAAAGATGATGCCAATTCTATAAGAAAATGATAGGTCCTAACTTATTTTTTAAAAGTATGTTTTCAATTTTGTTCATTTTTTTCTTTTTGCTTTAACAGAAAAAAATTTAAATGACAGAGGGGTACTTTTTCCATGGTCCAATCTGAAATTGGTAAAGAACTGGAAATCATTTCTTGGTCAAGAAATAAAGTAGTATTTTCCCCTCAATATTTTTTGTTTTCAATAATCCTTTTCAGATAATGAACTTTATTACAGCATTATATGTGTTCCATTAGTTCCATTCATATATAAATGCATATCCTTATATATTGTGTAAATAATGTAGTCCATTGAGCCTGCAAATGTATCCCCATATCATTTAGTGGTCAATAAACTTATTATTATCATTAGTCCCAAAGCTAGAGGTTGAGAAGTCAAATAGCAATTAAGCAACCCCCCTCTCCCCATAGGGAGGGGCTGAATCTCTCCCCTTAGGGTTCACCCTTACTAGTAAAATACTTCCGAGGTAGATCCAAAAGGGTAGGGGGGAGGTGCCATGCCATCAATCATATTCTTTCTGAAATCACTTTCTGATGTGGCAGCATAACTACCAAAAATTATCAACCCTGGTGCCCACTCAGTTATTAGTTTTTGATTTTCAATTACAGAGGAAAATAAATCACAAGATGGACAGTTTGAACGAAGTCTTATTCAATAATAACATCTATGCTATTGACTTCAAAAACTAATTCAACCTGCTTTTCTGTAGAGAAATTCATTACTGTGTTTGGCAGGAAAAAAAAAAGAACATAACTTTTCACTATCCATAGTGCTGGCAGGGACTACACTGTGACATTGACTTGCCAGTGGCAGAAGTCTGAAAGCAAGGTGCAAATTAGAAACAATAAAAACTGCAATATACAGTGAGTACATAAGTAAATAACCCTGTTCTTCCTTAAGACCTAGAACAGAATGGGTCCATATGAAGTGGGCAATGAGTATACGACTCCACTGAGGGTTTATTGTATTCTGTTCCAACCAGTAAAGTGAATGCCTCCTACCTAATTCAGAACCAAAAACAGAACTAGTTAAGTGAATGCCTCCTACCTAAACCAAAACCAAAAACAGAACCAGTAAGGTGAATAAATTCAGAGCCTAAACCAGAACCAAAAACAGAACCAGTAAGGTGAATAAATTCAGAGCCTAAACCAGAACCAAAAACAGAACCAGTAAGGTGAATAAATCAAGAACCTAAACCAGAACCAAAAACAGAAACAGAAAATTGAATAAATCAAGAACCTAAACCAGAACCAAAAACAGAGCCAAAAACAGAACCAGTTAGGTGAATAAATCAAAAACCTAAACAGGAACCAAAAACAGAAACAGAAAATTGAATAAATCAAGAACCTAAACCAGAACCAAAAACAGAGCCAAAAACAGAACCAGTAAGGTGAATAAATTCAGAGCCTAAACCAGAACCAAAAACAGAACCAGTAAGGTGAATAAATTCAGAGCCTAAACCAGAACCAAAAACAGAACCAGTAAGGTGAATTAATCAAGAACCTAAACCAGAACCAAAAACAAAACCTAAACCAGAACTAAAAACAGAGCCAAAAACAGAACCAGTAAGCCATGCAGAACCAAAAACAGAACCAGTAAGGTAAATAAATCAAGAACCTAAAGCAGAACAAAAAACAGAACCTAAACCAGAACCAAAAACAAAACCAAAAACAGAGCCAGTCTCAGAACCAGTTTTAACTTAAAAGTGAAATAAACCAAGAACCTAAATCAGAACCAAAAACATAATCAGTCTATCTCCCAACAGAACCAGACCCAAACGAGCCTAAGCAATGACCCATGTAAACATATCCCCTCCTTCATCATACTCAGTTAGTATCAGGTAGACCAGGTTTCCAAGAAGCCTTAGGATATGACGGAGCATTTTACATTAACCTGTCTCAATTGAATAGCAGAAGATGGATTGCTTTTCCAATAAACATGTTTAGCGGATCATGCATTGCTGTGGGCTTCTGAGCAAAGTGGTACTATATATTACGGTAATTACTTGATTTTTTTCAACGAGGGAAAATGTGAATTTTACAGACACTATTTTTAAGTCATAATTTCTTAAAGTTAGAATAAATCCTATTTAGTGGCAGCAACGAAATTAAAAAGCAGGCTACTCTACCTTTCTAATCTATGCAGTAAAAGCACCACAAATGCTACACAAAAATATAACTTCTGTTAACATAAAATTATGTATCTGACAGTTTGATCATTTCCCCCCATTGAAAAGATCAAGTAATTACCACACAATGCCACTGTTGCTAGTGTGGATACAGGTGTTTTTCAACCTGCACGAACCTAGATACTGTGAAGAGATAAAATGTAACATCCAGGTTAATAGTTCATTGCAACTGGCTGTTTATACCACATGTAAGCACAGGCAAATACCAGTACTTCTTTTGTATCATTATTGCATTTTACCAGCTGTACTTGGGTTAATTGTATCTTGATGATATAGCATTAAATTGTTAGAGTCAGAGATGAAAGTGGGGTTGAAAATAATCTGGAAAACGCAAGTGCAGAAGGCATGTAGCACCACATGAGATTCGGAGGGAGGACATAAATACAACACCCAAATTCTAAGAATTCAGGAATGCCGCCATGGATACCAACCAAAATGTGGCAAATGCTGGAGCTGTTTTGGTGTTTAGAACTCTCCAAACTATTAAGTTATCAATCTCTCAAAACATTAGGAAATGTATTGATGGAATGCCAAGACAAAGTGCTCAATGTGAAAAAGTATATTATGCCCCCCCAACCCTAAATCCTCACACTTACCAAGCTTGCATAGTGCTGCCACTGTGGTAAACATTACAATAACCAACGGCGCTTTCACATGCTGAAAGTTCCACGCAGCCACATGAATTCCTCCGTGCCCCTCCTCGTGCCAGTTCACTTTAGGATAGTGCGTACGGTCATGCGTGCTGTTCTTGGATTCGTTTCCATGGAACCAAAAGTGCATGTCTTTTTCCGTTCCTGGTTTATTATAATGGACAACATCAGGTTGACTTGCATAGCAGGGTACAAGAAGTGACATGATGACTAGCATGAGCAGCAACAGGGGTTGCCTTAGCCTGGACACTTTAAAACATCTACGTGTCCATGCTGCCACAGTGACGCAACACCTTACAGTCCATTTTCCAGCCATAGTGCGTTGTTTAAAACATGTTCCTTCAAATGTGCCCATATGTGTCTTGTTTTGACCCAGAACCTCCATGGTCATGTGTTATTTTCTGAATGGATCTTTTAGTCATAAGACTGAGAGCCTCCTTTGATGCATCTAAAAGAAACAAAAAAAAAAAAAACTATATGTAATTGTTAATTCAGTAGCAGCGATAAACCACAGAGATTAGTTTAACAGTGGTATCAACTTATTACAGCTGTTCTACTAGTGGAACATCTGCCAATGCATTACTAGTAATGACCTACTGTACCTGTCACTGGCTCATTACTGACAGTCACACCAAACACAATGTCACATCTAACAGAATCACTGTCACACCTAACACAATGTCACATCTAACAGAATCACTGTCACACCATACACAATGTCACATCTAACAGAATCACTGTCACACCTAAAACAATGTCACATCTAACAGAATCACTGTCACACCAAACACAATGTCACATCTAACAGAATCACTGTCACACCTAAAACAATGTCACATCTAACACAATCCTTGTCACTGCTTACAATCAGTTGTGACCGAGATATATGAAATACCCACTGTCTAAGTATTATTTCATTTTCTAAGTTATTCCACAAAAGATTAATAATTCTATTGAAATTACTGGTTACTAGCCGGTGAATGTTTTCAACATCCTCCTGTTGTCTTTTCTACAATTACATCTGAACTGTTCCAATACAAGACAAACAATTTCTGCACACAGTCTACTTAACACAGTTGCTGAACCTTTATCCTCATGACAATATGGTTTTTGCTTACACTACAAAGCCTCATGCTAATATCTATGTCTTCTTTGCAAAGAATATATATCCTCCTGACAGCTGTGTGCTAAACCTGGTATTCTTACTGATTAAGTAAAAGCAAATACCTGTAGATATGTGCCTCACTCTCAAACCCATTATTGTACGTCAAAGACAATAAACTGTTAGCATGGTTTCCAAAGCAACGCGAGCTCTACAGTTGAGTGGAATTCCATGCAAGAGTCATTCATGGTTACAAGTGTATCAGTGCAAAACAATCATACTTCCTTCTATGATTGAGCTAGAAAGTACTGGAAAATTTCAATATAGCTGTGTGTGTGTGTGTGTGTGTGTGTGTGTGTGTGTGTGAGAGAGAGAGAGAGAGAGAGAGAGAGAGAGAGAGAGAGAGAGCACAACCGCACAGGCCTATGTACACAATGTATTCAAGCGATAAAGTTGCAAGTTGAGAATTCATATATTAAAGCAGTTTTCTTTATTTCTGCTGAAATAAATAAACAAACAAACAAGAAAAAATATTTGCTAGTACTTTAACAAGCCAAACAGCAGAGAGACAGCAATGGCATTTAGGCAATGAAAGCGCAGACTAAGTCAAACATGCAGGGCTGGCAACCTAATCTTCCAATGGATGTAGCAAATTCCCTAAGTGGATTACGATGAGAAAATAAACCTATTTGGTATGATGATAAGCAGATCTATCTATCTTGTTTAAAAAATTATTTGTTCCATCATGCTGGTAAAGACAGTATCTTTTTTCCTGGGTAGTTTATTAGCAGTGGCATTGTGTAGGTGTGATTTCCTTGTTGTAAAAAAAGTTGTGTTTACAATGGGGGAAATCTGACTCTGATTCTGATATGTGTCTGGTTCACCTACAGTTTAAACCATTAGGGTACCATAACTATCACGCATAAGGATGAGGGTTACTGCCATTTCCACATGCTTTTATCAGATCAATTGCTGTCTTTAAATTTTGTCTTACCACAATCCACCAATGATCCCACAACAGTACTGACATATTTTTATATATTTATAATATCTTCAGTTTCTTAATTTCATTACCATTTAAAAGACAGTGGATTACCCCCCCCCCCCCCCCACAATGTATCAACTAACAATCAAACCAACATATCTAACAGGAAGAGAATGTCTTTTTACCCTCCCTCCATCTTGCTGAATCTATTACACACAAACCATGTTGTCCAACAGAGAATGTGTTTTTACAGGATAGCTATAATAAATAAATTAATTAATTAATTAAAATAAATAAATAAATAAATAAATAAATAAAGTTATTATAAAATAAAAAATTGATTATTTTGAATATACTGGTATCTTTTACCACTTTTGTTTTTCCTTTTTTCATTTTTTCGTTTGTAGTTTTAAATGTCCTTCCCAGATGTCATAAGATACCACGGAATGACCAAATAATAGACTTCATGCATGGAAGCCTGGTCTGTGTGCACAAACTAGTAAGGAATTCTTATCCTTTTGAATGAAATTGAATTTAATGGAAATCATGACTAAGTTATCTTGACTCCAGAAGAGAACGATTGCACATGCAGAATGTGTCTTTTATTGGATATATATCTGACTATATTAATCCATACAAGCAGAAGATTGGTTTATAGTTTACTATTCCCTAGTGTACAAGACTGAGCCTCTATTCTACTAGTATGTATGATCTTACAGACACTTGCCGAGGACTGCATTTCACTGCCACAGGTTTAAGTTGACTGGTCACAGGAGAAGCTTGCCTTTAAATATTTAGGAAATATGTCTAATATAGAAAACATTCGCAAGTTCTCTGCCTGTTAAGTCAGTTAAATAATACGTTGGATTCCCCTCCTTGCCCCCAACCAATGAGAGAGAGAGAGAGAGAGAGAGAGAGAGAGGGAAGGAGGGAGAGAGGGAGGGAGAGAGAGAGAGAGAGAGAGATCCCCTGGTATATGTTTCAAACAGACAGACAAAGCAACCAAATGACATATACTAGTACACAGATGGACAGAGAAACAAAACAGATTGAAGGTGGGATAGGTAGAATATGGAATACAGGTGGATACACTGTTAAAGATTTGAAGATAATTCATATGTACACTAGAAGAAGAAGTAACTGTTACCCACTTCACTCACGCACTTACTGTACTAGTATGGCCTCCCCTTTGGGAAAAAATCAATGTTTCTACTAAAGTATTTGAACCGAGAAAATACAAATTACTCCTTTTAAGAGATATTTTGCCTGCCAACATTATTCATGTCCCAATTTTTAAACCTCAGCCAACTACTAGTAATTATCTCACAATGCACAGGCTGAAACAAAAATTCCCCCTACACTTACTGTAAGGCCCCATTGGGAAAAAATAACGTCAAAACTAAGTATTTGAGCCGAGTTGTCTTCATAGAAATTACAAATTACTCCTTTTAAGAGACATTTTGCCTGACAATATTATTCAACAAACTTCCGAATTTTTTTTCTCACAATGCCTAGATATAGAATAACAGCTGATAATGAGGCAAAAAATTGTGATCGGCTGAAATATTTACAACTCACCACAAAGCAGGGAGAGAGAGCATTGTACATCTTCAAGCCATTTATTAAGAATGATCTAAACATTTTATTATCAATTCTGAGTGATACCTTGATTTCCAATCGATGCTACTTCACTGAAGCAAAGCCTCTGTATTAGATACAATTCCCGAGAGGTAGAATGGTAGAACTAGCAAGTCAAGGCATGGTGAGAGGGTAATATATACCACACAGAGCACATTCAGAACAGTGGACTAATAGATCCACAGATGAAATATGGCCGACCCATTTGAATACTTGTCGTGTAATCCCCACAGGGAATCTATTCAGTGTCTAATCAGGAATTAAACAACAAGGTTTTTAGTGGGTCCCCGTATTTTGATCTGCGGATCTGTTAGCCTACTGTTCTTTATGTGCTCATAGTGATGAATGTGGTGGAAAAAGCCCAAATTGCATTAAATATCAACTCCGCATGAAAAAAGAATCCATCACATGTTCAATCAGACATGTTAACTTTTTTTTTTATCTATTTATTTCATCATCATTCATTAATTTTTCTTTTGGTATCCAAATGCTGAAAATGATCAGATGCCATTCTCTGTCTGTACGAGCTAAGGGTAAACTCCAACCTTGAAATTATTTTATTCGTTCAATCATCTGTCAATCCAATCATTATTGAACCCATTTGTGTATTCATTAATTTAATTTTTTTTGCAATTTACATAATTATTAATGTAACACTGATACCATTTAAAGCTATAATTTGAAAAAGAATGTGGTTCAGATTCAATGACAAAATGTTTTCATTTCAGTGATGGCAAAAAATTGTTTCCGAAGCCACAAAACAACAGAATCCTTTGAAACTATGATTAAAAGTATAGCAATGCCTTGCCTTATACAGGTACTGTAGGTTTAAAAAACACGTTAATTCTCTTCAAAAACACTTTACTTTTTTATAACAGTTCAGAATGTACAGGTTAAATATTAAATTACTTTTACCACTAATCAGAGGTAAAAATGTCACTTGATCTACCTGTAAGGGCTGCTGTAAGTTCAGTGCCTATGGCGAGGCTAGTTAAGGCACCTGCACTTCTGCCAGAAGGCACTGCCCATGGTATAAACCTTCTCTAAGGGCAGCAAAGGTGAGAACGCAGGTTTAACACTCCAACGCAGGTGATCCTTGATATACACCTTGTTAAAAGTGCCCCAGGGCCTGTGTTAAGTCAATTACTGTTGCAATGTTTTTCAAACTATTGGCATTGCCAGTAGTTCCAATCTTGGTTCTCGCTTTGAAGTAAGTACTACTCAGTAATAGCAACAACTGCTTACTAGTATGTATTTTACCAACTTATCCTACAAATACACACACACACACAAACATGCTCGAACATCAGCACATACCTATAAGGCGTATGTAAAATTACCAAAGCAAATTCAATATCTATGAAAATCAAAATCCAACCACCAGCCATGCAAACCCATTAATAAACAAGCAATTTAGAAGTCAAGAGTTCAGAAGGATATCCTAGTTCACTTCTTCCTTGCAGACAATACCTACTCAAATTTATCAAATCCAGAATTTTTTTTTTGCACTCTTAGAATTCTTAGAGAAATTCTAAGAAAATTGCTGGCTGGGAAATTCAATTTGGTGATTGCCTGGTAAATTACCCTAGAGATCTGCATCCCTATATATCATACCAGCATGGTGCAGGCATAGGACAGGTTTAAATTTATATATATATATATCAAGCTGAATTAATGGATTGGGAAGAAATATGTGTTATTACAGCCCCCCCCCCCCCAAAAA